GCATTGCAAGAAAAAAGTCCTGGTTGGGAGATACATGGCATTTTAAAGATTCTACAAGGCATTGCAAGAAAAAAGTCCTGGTTGGCTTTCTTTAGCCCAGGTTTAGTTAACATGCAAACCTCTATTAAAATTATAGTTTGTAAATAGCTTGCCCAGGAAAAAGCCAAACAAAAGAGTTAATTTAATTGAACTTTTTTAATTTTTGTTTTTTGTATATTTTTCAATTTTTTTATAAATTACAGTTTATTCACTTTGTATCCCAGCTGTAACCCCCCCTCATCCCCTCCCAATTCCACCTTTCTCCCTCATCTCCTCCCTTAATTAAAATTTTAATTGCTTTATATATTAGTTATTATTCTATTGCTTTGATAAAACTTCATGATCAAGGCAACTTTTAGAAGGAAGGGTTTATTTGGGGCTTACAGTTCCAGAGGCATCAGAGTCCACCACCCTCACTGTGGTAATAGCAGGCAGGCATGGAGCCTGGAGCAGCAGCTAAGAACTGAACACCTGTATCTCAGACCACAAACAGAAAGAAGAAAAGGCAAATTCAGAATGGTGAGAGTCTTTAAATTCTCAAACCCACCCTCAGTGACATACTTTCTTCAGCAAGACCACACCTCCTAAACCTCTCCAGAAAGTGGCACTAACTGAGGACCAAGTATTTAAATGCCTATGCAGGGCATCTCATTCAAACTACCACACATGTACTCTAAATCAGTGTTAAAATAGTACGAATTGTCAGAAGAATCTTAGTCATTGAGAAAACTAATGTTATTTGTACTTTACACCAGAATAGCCCCCACACGGTGTGCCAGAATAAACTCCAAATGGATCAGAAATCTAAATTTAAAAATGAAGCCAGGCAAATGATGGAAAGAAAACACGGATAAACTTCTATGAAATATGGTTGTAGGGCAAAGTTTTCTAACTATGACTCTAAATATTCAATGGCCGATATATTTGACTACATAAAAAAAAAAAAAAAAACATTTACATAGTGGAAAAAAACCTAAACAAATGGCCAAACAAACATAGAGAATCTCTGATACAAGATGAAAAAGACATGAATGTATAGGTAAATTGATACACACACACACACACACATATACATAACACACATATATATACAACCACATGCATATCTATGTATACACGTGTGTATATTTCTTACATGGCCTTAAACATGAAAATGCAACCAAGTCCACTTATGCTAAAAATTGAGACAAATCAAATCAAAACTACCCTATGAGAGAGGTTTTCTTGGCTAAGGCTGGGAAGAATTTATAAACTGAACACAATGTCCTTGTAGCTTTTGCTCTGCAGAAACTGTCACTCTTGCACATTGCTGATGACAGAGCAGATAGGTGCTGAGGGAATTGTCAATATCTCACAATTGCCCCTTATGTCAGGCTCTAGCAATACCAAGTGTGCCTTTTGTTCCCAGAATCTCACTTGTAGGAATGTACCTCAGTGCTCATTACAGCTAGAAGTACTGGGAACATGCCCAGATGTCGGACAGGGCTGAAATAAATGGCAGTAAATCCACATGATGATGCGTTATGCAGCTGTAACAAAGCCTGAAGAAGAGCTCTGGAAACAGGGAATCTTTTTAAACTACTATGTATGTTTGTAGATATACATACATGCATGCAGTTACAGTAAGGAAAATAAAAGCCCTGAGTTTGAAGGAGAGTGGAAGGGTATGTGGGAGGATTTGAAGGGAAGAAAGGGAAGCAAAATATGTTGTAATAAATTACAATCTCAAAAATTTTTAAAAGAGGGGAAAGATATATGTGGGCTTTTACAAGTAAAACAGTACTCTTCATGGTGCAGGTGGGGATAATTCAAAGAGGGGGGTCCACAGGGATGGATGGGACAGTCTGACTTTATCTAAACATATTGTTCTGTGCCTTTTGATTTTTTGACTGTTAATGTTTTATTATTCAACAACAATTCTTTAAAATAATATAAGTCAGGGAAAATGGAGGAGGAAATCCTGAAAATATAGTATGGGCAGGAGCAGACAGTTCTGCTTAATGTAAATAATATAGCCACACTGAAGAGGGCCAGGGGAGGCTAATCCAAGAAAAGTTTGAGCATGATATTTTAACTAAAGGGGAAAAACCCTGAAAGTATAGAACTATAAAGAGCAGTGTGTAATAAACTGGCATGCTTGTGTTGTTTTGTTTCTGTTTTCACATGGTTTCTTTGTTTGTTTTACTTAGCATTTTAGAAACTCCTTTGCATGTGTTTATCATCCAGTACCCTGAGGAGTAGGTTGCTTGCTGTCTGAAAGGAGTTACTATTAAAAAAATAAAGAGGAGAATGAGCACATGGTACTGGATTAGTGTAAGAATCAGTACTAGTTTCTGGTTAGAGATGAATGGCATCAAAAGTTTCCAGTAAAGAGCCAGGTAATGAACACTTAACCCTGCGGTAGTAGACAAAAGTAGCCATAGATATTACTGGAATGCAGACATGTGGCAGTGATCCAATCATTTGTGGACACTGCATTTTGAAGGTCATATAATTCTCAGATGCTATGAAACATCATAGTCACTTAACCATTTAAAATATAGATGGCTAGATTAGTTTGCATACTATATAAATATAGACCGTGAGATACACTTGGTCCATGGACCATAGTTTATAACTTCTGGTTGACCAACCAATTGATTAAAAATAAATAAAATAAAATGGTTTCTATTGCCACACCTACAACGGGGAAGGAATAACATCAAGTCATTGGCTTTACATTCAAACCAGGACCACCATTTGCATTGCCTGAGTTTCTTCCCCAGGCTGTGTAGAGTTCCCAGTGAAAAACAGGAAGAGGGTCTTCAGATGACATCATTCTTTTCTCCTGCTCACCTGCCTTTTCAATATTCTTATTAAGAAATGAGGTCCCCGGGCTGGTAATTTGTATATGACCTCATGATTTTCTAAAGTACAGGAAATTTTAGTTCTGCTGTAATTAAATGGACTAAATAAAAGGTACTTATCAGAAAATGTCCCATTAGCTTGAATGTCTGTGACAAATCCTTTCTGATGTTCTTAATGTGTTATTATGAAATTCAATTACACAGCATGTTCACCTCGCTTATTTCAGTAACCATAATCTGGGGATAACTGTAAGCAGTGATTGAAAGTCTCTAAAATATTACAAGTGGGAACTGAGTAATTTTAGGTTAAAATGCTTGAATACTGAAAGGATGAGGGGCTTGCAGAAGGGAAGACCTCTGCTGTGTACGGTGAGTGCTGAGCTGTGTAATGCTCTGGTGAGCCTCAGCCATCTCTTACTGCTTCAACTACAGCAAGGCCGCCCTGGTTTACCACCGTAGGTCAGGCCACGCATGGGCTTCCTTGATCAGAGTGTTGTAAGCAAAACTTACTGAGGGATGACTCCGAACCCAGAGCCGTGCCAAACGGGGTTTACCTAATTCTGTAAGCAAAGCTCTGACCAATTGATAATAAATGTAATGAAGTGGTTTTAAAAATCTTAATGAAGAGCCTATGTTGCCCACACCCCTACAGCATAGAAGGAATAGCGTCAAGTCACTGGCCCAGTGTTCAAAGACATCCTTTGTACAGGTCCAGAACAACGGCATTAAGTGACCTGGCTAAGCTCTGTAGGGAGAATGGAGCTGGTGGCGACCTAAGAACTGGCATTCTTCAGTTCTGGTTAGAACTGCTTCCTATTGTAAAGAAAGTATGAAACACAGAATTTAGGAAGAAAATATTATCATAAGAACATGGTCCTGCCGGATAAGCTAGGGTCAGATGGAAGGAGAGGAGGACCTCCCCTATCAGTGGACTTGGAAAGGGGCTTGGGAGGAGATGAGGGAGGGAGAGTGGGATTGGGAGGGAATGAGAGAGGGGGCTACATCTGGGATACAAAGTGAATAAACTGTAATTAATATAAAAAAATAAAAATTTAATTAAAAAAAAGAACATGTCCTGTTCAGAAGAAAGGAGTAAACGATATGGTTGCTAATATCCATGCAACATATAGGACTCACATTGGAAAATCCTTTCCATTCCCTGGCCCCTCCTACCTAAGCAGCTGAGGAGCTTAGGTGCAGGTTTAGGGATGAGAAACATTGGGCTCATGCCTTCAAGATAGCACCAGCTGAACTGAACCCATGAGGTATCTAGTAGGGGGACAGGAGACTGAGACAGGAAGAAGCAGGACAGTAAAGGTGGCTCCACACTAGAGCTCAGGCTAATATCTGCTCGGCTCACGCGGAGAACACTGTCATCCAGAACACACTTTCTCAACCCAGATCAGAAAGGGCATCATCTCTGCTGATTTGCTGACGTAGCCTCCCTAATAGGAAAAACGTGTGTACAGGGCGCTGAATGTCTCAGTGGCTAAAGTTCCTTGCCGCCAAGCCTGAGGACTGGAGACCTGGGACCCGTGGAGGGAAGAAGAGAACTGACTCCCATAAGTTGCTCTCCCATCTCCACATGTGCAACATATGCCCACAAATAATTTTGTTAAAAAGTAGATACACTACATTTTCATGGCAATAATAATAAATTTTTATCATTTATTTTTTAGGGTTATAGTGTAATTACTCATTTCCCTCTTCCCTACCTACCTCCAATCCCTTCCATATACCTCTCCTTGCTCTCTTCCAGACTCATAGTCTCTTTTTTCGCATATATATATATTTATTTATATATTTATATACTAAACATTATACTAAATATTAGTCTGTATAATATTATTTGTATGTACATTCTCAGGATAACCAACAAGTATGAAGAGAAATTAATTCAAGGTTATGGTTTTAATCAAGCAACTCATTGGTTAAATGATCAACTCCTTATTGACCTCTTCACAAAACTGAGTATTAATTTCTCAACATTTTTCTTACTGAAACGTGAAGGAAGATAGCGTGTTCCTTTGTCAACCCCAGAGAAGTGAAAACCAAGGGAGAACACGATGTATGGGGCTGCAGCTGTGTTGCTCACTCGCTCTCTCTTCTCTTTAGAGACTGGTTGAACATGCTGAGCCCACCGATTGTCCCTCCCAGTCAGCAGCCGGCGGAGCAGCCTCAGGAGTCCTCTGCAAGTTTGAGTGGGCAAGGTAGGAATGCAAGAAAAGCTGTGTGTAAAAAGATAAGGTCACTTGCTACAGAGAGAGATCAGCCACTCTGAGACACCTCCGCCTTCATACTGGCCATCCAGGCTAGCAATGCAAACCGAGACCACCTGTGCCTCCCCTTTTAAGCAGTCCTGTACGAACTAGGTTACAGAGAACTCCGTCCTTCTGAAGGCTCACCCCAGGGCAGCACACAGTGATGTCTTCATCAGCCCCCATCTGATTTCCAGCTGTACCACTTACCACTGTGAGTTTTAGTTGCCACCTCTACGGTGCCTGCCCACGCTCGTAAAGATTCAGTGAGGTACAATATTTGAATCACTTAGCATGGTGGCTATCAAATGCTAGTGGGTGGTGTCAGAATAAAGCAGCCCCAGCCTCTTGGGACACTGGGATACAGCCATGCACTATGTGATGTTTTGGTCAGGACTGGACCTCACACATATGACACCTGTCCAAAAAGATTATAATAGAACTGGGAAATTCCTACTTCCTGGCGTCCTGTCATCACAGCCATTATAACATCATAGCAAGACTCATTACCCATGAGTTTGTGGGTTACTATAGTGTAAATATTCTGGACCAGCAGTGGTTAAAAGGATAGCACATGCAGGCTGGGTGGTGGTGGCACACGCCTTTAAACCCAGCACTCGGAGGTGGGGGCAGGCAGATATCTGTGAGTTCAAGGCCACCTTGGTCTACAGAGCGAGTTCTAGAACAGCCAATGCTACACAGAAAAACCCTGTCTTAAAAAACAAACAAAAAGAGTATATCACATATAATCACACACGGTACAGGAGGTATGATACTGAAGTGTCACTGGCTCATGTGCTTGCTGTACTATATTTCTACTCATTGTTTCAGAATGTTCTCCCACCTACTTAAGGATGTTTGTTGCAAGGCAGCCTGCCACGCCGCACCAGCAGCCTCATACATCCCCTGGGTGCTGTTTCTTGATCCCATCAGGAGACACCGCAAGTGATGGGGCTGTGCCATCTTGGCTTGCATAAATCAGCACTCTCTGTGGCATTCCCACACACACATGTACACGCGAGCGCACGCATACACACACACACACACACACGCACACACACACACCATTGCATTTCTCTGTATCACTGTGTGAGCCCATTGTGAAATGACTTTGCCTAGACACATTTTCCTTGGAGCAGAGATGCAGCCCTTTCACTGAGGTGAGGCCATGACATACCTACCAACAGTGCAAACATTGGTGGGAAATGAAATGAAAATCCCCTGGGCATTCCATTTGATGGTGAAGTCATGAAGAGGAGCCACTGGGTTTCAGTTAGGATCAGGGCCCCTGGATGTCAGGGATAGAAGGAAGAGGAAGACTCTTTGGGGTAGAGATGAAAGTCAGTTGTCAAAGTATCTGCTTATCATGTGTAAAACCTAGTGTGGGGACACACCTGTAATCAGAGCTCTCTTGAAGCACGGCCAGAGGATCAGGAGTTCAAAGTCATTCTCAGCTGGTTGCAAACTAGACTGTACTACATGACACTGTCTCAAAACGAAGAAACAAACAAAAGGTTTTTCTGGTGGTTTGAATGGCAGGGGTGGGAGGAAACTCAAGTTCATTCAAGTGCATAATTGGACTGACAAGTGAACCTCCAATAGAACTGAAACAATTTTCTAAGTTGAATTTTGAAGATGGACAGCAATGTATCTAAAGTTTTTTTAAAGTGAAACTAATATAAATTGCTCCAACAAAAGTGCCAGCCTCCCCCCTCCCCCGCTGCCCAGCTGCCCCAGGGAGGAAATGGAGCACCCGTTTTCCTTCAGGGGTAGAGAATTCAGAGTGAGAGCTCATACATCTGACTCGTACTCTGTGGCTGCCCAAGGGAAAGAGATGTCTCTGTGATTTACTGTTTGAACTAGATTGTGCCCCTCAAATTGGGAATCTTTTTAGAGGTGTACATTTATAATTACTTATGACAGAAAAATACAGTCTTGGCTGTCAGGAGGAGACCTTGCTGTGAGAAAACAAATAATATGTTATAGTAAGTGTCCTAAATAACCCTCGGGAACCAGAAGCCTGGTCCTTGAACAAAGGCACTGGATATATATATTAGTGATAAGTGGCTGGAAGGGCATCTTCAAGTCATCACGGCACCACTCAGTTCTGGCACTGGGAGCTCCAAAATGTGGAGGGTAAACAGAACTTCCGCTGAGGACAAAGTTCACAGATTCAGAGAGTAATAGAAACATGCTGGCCACTGTCAGCCCGATCAAGGGCAGGTGCTGCTGCCTGCCACCCTCCGTGTTTACCACTGCCCACGTCCCTCCTTCCTAGGCGCTTGTACTTAATATCTTCAGGAGGTAATGTTTACTGTTTGTTCACTCTCTCCTTCTCTGTTACGCGTGGGTGGTCTGTAGTTAATTAATACTATCAAAACTACTGTGTCTATTTGCTTAATCTTGCTATGGTAATGGTGAGATTTTAGGCATGCTATCACAATCTGTGCTTAACTGGTACACTGACATAGGGTTTCCATTTAATCCTGTAAAATATTTGTCAAAGAAAATAATGTTCAGGTTTCTAGGTAATATCATCAGAAGCAGAAGGCATGGCTGCAGCCATCTAGAACTCAGCCTGGGTTTCTGTTGCCATTCACTTACCACTTATGTGTCCTGAGTCGTTGTATTCAGCCCTCATACCACCATTGTGAGGCAAACAGCAAAAATATATATATTTCTCTTGAGAGTTCCTGTTCTATCTGAGAAATGAAACATCTCCAGGACTAAATAACTATGTTTTTAATGACAGAGAGAGAAAAAAGAGAATGAGACTTTTGGCTACCCGCCTGCCTATTCAAACTGGCTAGCCCCAGTTGACGATATTTAGGGCAAGGGTTGGACCTCCAGGCTATGGACCTCTCCACAGCTGGAATCTCTTCATGTAACCTGCCACTCTCTGGCCTGCCTGGAGTCTTATGGAGACAGTGTCCCATTCGCTGTGTTCTCTGTCTCCCTGTCTCTGCCTCTGTCTTTCTCTCTTTCTTTCTCAATTTGTTTACTCTTTCTTCTTTTTATTCCCAAGTAGCCCAAGTATGTAAGAGACTGCCAGCTTGCTAACTTGAGGACCCAGGCCCCCGAGCAGTTTCCGGCACATTTTCCAAATTCTTATAGAGAAACTTAACCCTGGGTTTCCTTCCTCATCCCTAGGTTCTATACATTTGGAAGATTTCTGAAATTTAAACATAAAGCCTTTACCTTATTTGTAAACTGTGAAAACTCACTTCAAAAGGAATCTCATCTAGAATCCCAGTATATAAAAGAGGTCAGAGGAGGATGTGTCTATTAAAGTCCTACCCTGGGACTCTGACAAATCAGTCACAAACTGGTTAGGTTTTTGCCTTAACTAGTGAATGACTTACCCAAAGGTCAAAATCCCAGTCAGAGCCCAGGCTAAGATGGGGCTTCTGCTGTCTCAGCATCTTTCTGCTGAACCACTTTATAGTTTATAAGTTGGCTTGGTTTGGTTTGGTTTGGTTTGGTTTGGTTTGGTTTGGTTTGGTTTGGTTTGGTTTGAAAGTTAGAGACATAGAGAAAAGGGATCATCCATCTTGACACTTCTGTGGCAAAAATAACAGTTAACAGTGATCTGTCTTTCTGTGTTCCAGGCCTTCATGTTTACATTGATTCTCACAGTAGCCTCTAAACTTTAGAGTGTAAAGTGGGTACTGTTATCACCCCTTCTACCACACAGTTCTCTGGGGATGTGCAGCAATGCCCTGGACCACTTCATCTCCTTCCCTGAAGGAGAAGCTCGTATGTACAGAGCAGCTGGGGGTAGGAATGCATCTGCACCACAGCGAACAGCATGAGGACCTGACCAATGTGTAATTCTAGAAGCCTTACCCGGACCATACAGAAGGATGCTGAGTGACATCTGGCCCTAAACCCAAGGTTCCTGTGTCTGCCTTGTTCAGTGGGAGTCTGTGTGCTCAGCCAGACCAGCTTCAGTATACAAACGCCACCGTGAGCAAGCTGTACACCTGGCAGAAACACTGTTGTGCTTAGAGATTTCTGTTCTGACCCCTGCCACCAACTGAACTGAACTGGCGGGCTCTTCATGCTTCCTCCTAGGCTGTAATATGCTTGTGGAATATCAATTACCACAAGCACAAGTGCCCTTCACACTTACTAAAAAAGTGTTTTCTCGGCACCCATGTAAAATGTAAAATGAGAAGCGAAGATTTCAGAACTTACTCAAAAAAACTACCAAGCTGACCTTTTGAAAATGAACCATACTTTGCTGGAAGAATAGTTGTCAATTTGTTTTTGACATTTGTTCCTTTACGGATATGACCCTTAAATTATTCATGCCTACCAGTTTCAACATGGAATGATAATCACCTCTCTCCTCAGCCTGTAGACCTCTCCGCAAGTCACAAAAATTTTGGAATAAGAAAGGCCTTCCAAGGGGTACTTGGAGTTGTCAGAGTCTCATAAAAATAACAGTCCTATGACAGTGTCACACAGGCCGTTCAGGCATTAGTTCCCAGGAGGCACAGATAGGCAGCAAACGCTTTTTTATGTATCATCAAATCACTAGTAAAGAACTCACAGAATTCTCACCACTACTTATAGACAGACAGACAGATGGACAGCCGGTGATCTGGCTGCCTGCTCACTATCAACAGAAGTATCCTTTCAAAGTTACTCTCTTTATAGCTACATACTGACTTCACCACATCTGTGGTACCTAGTGCCCACAGCAGTGCCCAGGACATAGTAAACACTCCACAAAGTTCTGATGAGTAGATGAGTGTTGGCTCCGTGGGAGACACAGGGCAATTTGAGCTAGCCTGTAGATTCTCTTAGGATCTATTTGCAATGCAAAGCATATTACAGACGTGGTAACTGGCGGTACTCAGCCAGCCCAGGCTGTATAATAAAACCCCTGTCTCTTTCCTTAAACCTTAATTGAGTTTATTTTGAATTCCAGAATCACAAACATATAT